ACCCTGAAAACTGCGTCCTTTGTCCTTCAGAAAAAAAGTAGCGGTAGTGGTCACTGTCATGGTATGGGCAAGTGCTCGAAGAACACGAGATGATCCGACCGTAGATGCACTGGAATTCGAAGCTCAAGAGATCGCGAGGGGTTAAATCGAAAAGTGGAGAGATGTGATCACGGAAGACCTCTCCGAGGCCAAGGTAATGGCAAAAGGTGCCGCATATTGAGGAGCGTAGCTAGCAGGAACACGGGACCTTGCGGCTGCGCGGAATTATCAGTTGATCAGGCGCAGTCGCAGAGTCTGCTGTTCCCGTTAGGTAATTTCTTCAATCTGCGGCATCCTCTGTAAGGGAAGAGAAGAAGAAGAGGGAGTGGTTGTGGTAAGCACTCTACGAAAATCGAAATACAGCGAAAATCCGGAAATCTGCGAAATATGGACCCTAGACCTTACAGTTCACTCTGAGGATGTGCTACTGTAATGAGATCTTGGTGTCCAGGCAGTAATTTACTTGTCCATGTCACATCATATCCTAGATTGCCGCTTGTTACTTCCTATTAGCATCTACTCCCAGCTGCAGCTTTGGTGCAACAATTTGTCGCTGAGTGGCGGATCTGTCATCAGAAGGTAGATACAAGACCCAACCTATTATGGCCCTTAATATACTCTCCTTTGTTTCCCTGCGGTAACGTCCAGATGTGCAGTTTGCAGTGGCACACATGACCACTTTTTGGGCATGCGCCTATTTATTGTGCCCGACCCAGTAACGTACCACTTTACAGACTACTGATTACTCGCTGAAAGGCTATGAGTTACGGTATGTTACCGTATAACTCAGCCTCTTTGAATATTAGTTAAGCAAACAACATACACAAGATAAATTGTGGGTCAACCTATTCTGAACAAATCTCCGACATAAATGGTTGGACTGAAGTTTTGTAAGAGCCCTTTCTTGAAACCTGCTGATCAGAAGCCCTACGTGAACGAAAGGACTCGTGCACAGATGGGCAAATGGATCTTCGTCGCTTTGGTCCTCTTGAGGTATAGTTGTTGGCCATCCCCAGAACTCTGTGCTGTTTTCGTAGGTGTTCACTCCCGAATCGTCTCCAAGGACTTGACAAGTACATATTATGGTTGTTCTATGACGTATACATTGAGGCCACTATTATAGCATTACATTGAAACTGGTAGGTGTGGAAAAGCGGAAGGGAGGAAAGCATGAGGGGGTCAGAAACCTGCCTGAGGCGATCATCGAAAAAGACTGCTACCGTTCCGGAAAAGAACTATGCAATCGAAACGAAATCAGAAGCAAAAAATAGTTTATGACCACTGAAGATAATCAATCGACAAAAGCAAGGACGACATGAACATGACATATTACAAACAACGTATTCAGTAGAAAATTTTGTGGTAGGATGGTCTCTATTGACCATAAAACTTTCTGCCATACCTGAGCGACAAATAAAACTCGCCATGCACTAACTCTCAAGGGCAATATCTTTTCAATATAGTCGATTAGATCCTGTTCGAGTTTAAAAACGAAATTCTTCTGACGCTCCTGACGCTGTGTGGCCGTTTCCACAATAAGCCCGTGTAACCAACTTCCACTCAGAATGATAGTGGCACTCTGGAGGCGTTTGGGCCTATATGACGGCTTAAGGTAGCCAGCCGGTGTACAAGTCGGTGCTTCTACCCTACCAGACAAACCTATTACCATCAACTACCCGATCTCTTAAAGGTGGTAATCCTCATTGGACTTGGGCGGGTATCGATCCCACCAACTAGCAAACCGGGTGGTCAATTCAAGTCATTGTGTAAGCCACAAGTCGTTCAAAATGCACTACGATTCTGAAGGTACAAATTCTCTCTTTAACATGATGGAATACTAATCAGCTGACTTTGAATAAACTGGATGTTTTTCAAAACTAGCATTCCCGGAAAGAAGTAACGCTTGAGATGCGTATGTAGCCTATACAATTACTTGCATTGACACCGCAGTGTACGGTAATGTAGTGGAAGTTGATGCGGGGATGAATCCCAGGATGAATCAACGCCGAAAGATTTTGCCCTTCACTGACGTGGAAGGGGACAGTAGTAATTACATTATCGCGACAAATTGACTACATCTTCTGTCATCATCATCGATTTCTGTAGAATGATCAAGGGACCCAGTAATCGCTTCCTGTTATAGGATCCCATACATTTTGAGATCAGCTGTCTAATGGTATGAGCTATCACGACGCAATGAGAGACAAACTCTAAAATAAGCTGCCACGAGTGCCGACTACAAACGTCTCTAAGGAATACTGCGTAGCTAAATATATCGAAATGTGCTTCGTGGGTAGGAGGAGGTAGGCAAATAAAATGATGAGATGGGTAGTTCTAAGTAGTTTTACTTACTCGACAATGTTGCGCAAACTCAATACGCGCGGAAGCAGTCCTCTAGGGAGTAACGGCACTGAAGTGCTTTGCTATGGTACTACAAAGTAATAGCGTCTGGAAGCTCAGGGAACTTGTGAATTCATAATTTGTACCTCACTCTATTGCGAGTGTCGTCTTCCAGATAGAATGGAAATAAAGGATGAAGGATGTCACGGAGCGCTAAATCTGAGGGATGCGCCCACGCACTAGACCTCCATTCAGAATCGTAGCGGTGTATTGAATGTGAATGTGGCCTATACAATGAATTGCGGTGTCCAGCAGATGTACAAGTCCGTGCTTTCATCCTTCTAGACGAGCCTGGTATAAATTAGACGACCCTGGAGGGATGGATGGATTGGTTGAAATAGGCGAATGTTCTATCTGAAATTCGAACCCTGACCATGCGTCACTTGTCACGGCACCACGTCCACTCGAAAAGAGAATATTACCGTAGAATGAAGTACTATTGTATCGAGTTATGAAATCTGTCATATTAGTAATTGACCGGTTCAGTCACATCGCCATCGCCAATTCTCTTCTAATACCTACTTCTACATTGTCACAAAAACTGCGAGATCCTTCTCACGTTCAGAACTGATGGTAAGTTTGGGTGGCAGTCAGGAGGTTTCCTGTGTCTTTAGTCTGAAGTTTTCGGCGGAGATGTAGCTGTAAATTCCACTATACTGTGTCCTGCACCCTTAGCCCTAAGGACTAGGGATCATAGATAGATAAAGACCGACTTTTCGGGCCCTGAAAGAGAAGAGGGAGGTTCGAAATGGTTCTGAGACACAGGGATGGAGTTTCTTGACCAATCTAATGAACGGAGGAAGTTCGTGAGATGCAGATTTTTTTGCGATAAGTCGGAATGGAACAAGGACTTGCCAGTAGTCTAAATCCGCCAAGAGAGCAAAGATAAGAAAGCGGAAACGAGTGGGACCCTTCTGCCACGTTTCCACGAGGTTGTCCCAGTAAGCTGCCTCAAATCTGCCCTTTTGCGCTCCCTCACACAAAAGTCCCGTGAATATGTTATACAGTAACCCGAAGGCACAGTTAGGCGCCTCCAAACGTCCGTCACATATAAGACACAACAAAAAAGTACTCTGGGTGAAGCCCATTGCTTGCTGGATGGATCTTTGGGCGGGAGGGGGGGGGGGCTGCGGTAACGCACTTTCACGGAACATCATAAAGCGACTTGTCTCTCCCGCTAGTTTAGCTTATAAGCTTTAGCGTATTTTTGAGTTTTTAATTAGTTAGAGGATCCCCTCCACATTTTTTCCGTAATCCGGTATGTGCCAGACGGATGCGCTTCGTTGCGCGCGTCTGTCGAAACTAGGTCACGCCGTAGCCATCGCACGCGGCGAGTCAGCCCGCGATACTTGACGGACGTCGCAGTTGTCAGTGGGGCATCCGATTTGCGTTTGGTCCACGGCAGTCAGTGCAAAGAAAAGATAACGCAGACAAATGCAGACCATTCGCTGGTGATACTGTAATGTCATCTCGAGACCTAAGTGTGGTGGGGAGCCGGTCGTTTGGCGCGATGGGCGGGGTGGCCTATTTTCGACGGACGCGCGCAACGGACGTTCTCCGTGTTAGACCTACAGTTATGCTCGACTCACCCGACTTAATGAGGAAACCTAACTGGGTAAAAAAAAAGTAATTTGGGCCACACCAGTTCTCTCACACTAGGTGCTTAAGAGCAAGGAAGGAAAGGTGCGCGCCCTGGGAGCCTTTCATGGTGCTTGGAAACGTTTTTAAGCTTGGGAGTTAGAGTTTTTTTTATGCAAAATCTCAGAAGGAAAGCAGCACCGGTGTTGGTGAAATGAATAAATCAAGCCAAATGCATGAGTGGAGGGGGAACTGGACACTCATTTGACCGATGATACTTTTTTTCAAAAAGTGAAGCCGCTGTGTGGCCAGCATACTATTCCTGCCCAGAAAGCTTCGTTATAGGTCTCCAAGGCGGTTACCCTCTCCTTTTTGGGCCTGAATATGGGAACCTCGTAAAGTTCGCCAACGTGCCTGCGGCTAAGTTAGTTCATTTCCACGTCTTCCTACCCTTCTGTCTGGTGTCTATCCCTGTGAAGGAGACGCAGAGGAGGATTGGTTTTGTTGCAGCGGTCGCCGTTTCCCAACTTTTTGTTTTTACCTACGGCTGCTTCTGTTTTGAAAGAGCCCACTTTCAAAATCGGCATGTTTTTGATGTTTTAAAGCTTTTAATGACAGTTTCTTGGCGTGCCGGAGGAGCACTTGCCGGAATTCGTTTATTTTTTTGTGGGTGTGCTATTGATTTTTCAGCTTTCGCTCCGTATTAGGCCAGTCGTGCTTGCTATATCCGGCAGTTTCCTCCGAAAATCCACTCGAGTACAAATCAGAAACCTGTCATTTTTCGTACTTTTATGATTTTTTCGTACTTTTATGATTTTTTCGTAATCCTGATAATTAAGAGCTATTTGTACCCCACCTTATACCCGTTATTTCGTTGTTTTTTCCCTTAAAGGCTGCTCAGACTGTGATCGAATAATCGGAAAACTATGTTCAAAGCGTATTTAAGAGACCCTTGCCTTGCCAAATAAGCATTCGTTTCAGTTATGGATCGATGGACATGGTATCAGCCAGGAGAAAACTTAGAAGACCTTTTATGTCAAGCAGGGCACGTTGGTATCTACGACGGTGATCTCAAACATGTACGATTTTAATGATTTGGTTTCTTTGTTTATCATATTCTTACTTTTGTTCTTTTTTCTTTCATTCAGTTGTTATCTTTCGAAAAAACTGAGTAACTTAAGTAATATACTTATAAGTGTGATCGCTACTACACACAAAAGTCCTAAATAGTACTAATAACAGAATTTTGCAAACGTAGCCTCCTATTCCCTATCAGTAAATTCTACAGCAGAAAGTGATGAGAATTCCACAACCTCGTGAGGTACGATGTTTGTGTGCATAACCCAACATGCTCATCCTACACAAATACTCTTTTGTTTGATACACTTTCAATTATAGTACGAACGTTTGCTTTTCATGAGTAGTTTGTTCAACTATTGTTGAACTAGCAACCCGCGTCGGAAAGAAAATCGTAAAGAAGAAAAATATCGAAGTGTTCGTAAAAGTCATCCATGCTATCCTTTCTGTCAGTTTAAGCAGACAAGCCATGAGTGGTGTTTCTTATTCGAGAGAACCGACTTATTTTCTACGCCTTAGCGAAAGCTGGCCGAATTCAATTAGGGAGGGCAAAAACCTTTACAATCATGTTTAAAAAGCGCTACCCGCTCGACTTCACGTGACCATAAATCGTAGTGACATTTTGAATGCGTATTTGATATTTGCGGTGGCCAGCAAACATACAACTCAGTAGTTTTATTCTTCCAAGATGGTACCAGTTAAGCGACCCCGGTTACACTAAGGATGGATACGTGTTTTAGAGACTAATCATTAACTTCCTGCCTCAATCCTGGAATCGCTGATGGAAAAAAAGTGCCAGAAACAGTAAGATCTAGAATAAAATTATGAACGAAAGACTTTTCAGACTGCATTCGAGCAAGGGACTGCTTCATTGACGTTGCATCGCATAATATGGGCTGATTCAAGCGATCCTGTAAGTTTGATGCTTTTAGTGAGCTCCGAAATGACAGCGATGAGCCATTCAGGAAGAGAGAGCTCATGGTGGCAGTACTTAAGAATTTTTTTTGTTCTTATTCGAAACATAAACTATTAAACATTAAACAACTATTTGAACATTGACCTGATTGCAAATTCTGGAAAAAACCATTCCGACAGCAATTGAAATGGGTTGTAGTGTATTTAGCTTTTCGCCCTCTGTCAATTTTTGTACATTGTGCACGGTGTTTTGTCTTTCTCTTTTTATTATTATTAGATTGTTTTTATTTTTTGTTATTTTAGATGATTTTGCAAGATTATTTTTTTATCAGGATTCCCATTTTTGGATTCAACTCGAACTCTTTTTCCTTTTTACTTGGATGTATTCGTTAAGTTCATATTACTTGCAGGACCGTCGGCTTATCCTTCACCACTCTCTGGTGAAATCCATCGAGAAGCATCACAAGTCGATGTTCAGTCGTGGAGGAAAAATAATTGTCCGCCTTGAACCAGCACCAGCGAATAGCGTTGGACCACAGAGATCGAGTCCTTTCAACTACATTCGTCTGGTGTTTCGAGCTGGTGGAGAAGAAGATGTAGGTGTTCGAGCTTTCACGATCCTCTTTTGTGCACTGGCTTTGCTCATCGCTCATCATATGATTTTATAGTTTCATAAAAAATATGAGGAAGCCTTGAAACGAAAAACATGGCAACGTTCAAGTTCAGGATCAAGCTCGGGCGGAGTAAGTGGTTTTTATTACATTATACTTCCCTATAAGAACTCAGGAGTATTCATGCGAAAGCGCTGTTTCCGTTTTCTTCCGATTCGTTTGAATGCATTTTAGTTTCTGAGAAAGTTCCTGATCTCCGTACACATTCTCAATTTTAGCTAAGTTTAGTTCTCGAAGCTTGTAATTCAGTGGTCCGTTGGAATTATCGTGCGGATCCATACAGAATATGTGATACCCCGTCACGAAAGGCTTTTTCAACCGTATTACCTCGTTAGTCCTCGATTTCTTGGAGCGAAACCACATCGTCTATTCGTTTTTTCAGCGTTGTTCCAGTGTGGTCCTCGATTCTTTTGACGTCAGAAAAGATTCAATCGGTGATCGCTCTGCTTTGAGTATTGTAGATAACCCGCCGTGCGCAGCTCATTTTTGAGTCTTGGCATATAAGACAGCGTCTTGATTTTTGATTATTGCCAAGGTAACGAATTAGGATTGTTTTCAGCGCTTGTGTTGATAGGTGACCACCGAATGCCGCCATTTCTACACCGCATTGAAGGTCACGTGCTTTTTACTCTGCCTAGTCTAAATATTTGGAAGAAAGTGAAGTGCAGTATGGCAGAATTAAGCTATTTGGACTTTTCATCAACTTTTCGCAATTCTTTTACGCTTCGTATGCGCGGTGATGATCTCTTTTCCGCTCATGATTCGATTGTTCTCACCTTCTTGTCTTTAAGGATCAAGACCGCTACTGATTTTCACGCGGCTCATTGTACCCTTTTTGATTCGGGTGAAGGGACATCAATTTTCGTCAGACATCATCTATAATTGTAATATTGTTGGTATTAGAGTTTGAATGATGTAAATATCTATAACTGGATGGGGTAGGATGAGTATCATTTTGTATTAATATGGAATTTGTCGTTCTCATTATTTCAATGATGTAACTGCATGTACCTTTTTTGTAGTCGAGGACTAGCCAAGGCATCCAAATGCGACCTGTGGGTATCGCCGGCCTCGAAAAGCGTTTGGCTGAAAATCACCAACGAACACATGAGACCATCAGTCAGGTAGCTTTCCGAGCTCTATTATCACAGATTTTTTTACTGATCATGAGAAGGCTTTAATGTTGCTATATGAGTGTCAGTATAACAAAATAACGAATCTTTTACATAGTCATAGCGCTGTTTCTGTAAAACTGTACTGAATTGCGTTTAGGCATTTGAAGATATGTCGCGGCTGATGGAAACAGCTCGAGATATGGTCAATCTTTCAAAAAGTATCTCTGAGAAATTACGTTCTCGAAGAGGAGAAATCACAGAAGACGAGGTTCGAATAAGACTTCTCTAATTATTTCGCGTACATTGAAGTGATTTTCTCATTTCATTTATTGTGGCTTGTCTTGTTCGCAATTTGTTCGCAATTTTCATTTCAGACGATTGCCTTTAAATCATATCTATTGTCTCTTGGTGTCTCTGATCCGGTAACCAAATCAGTTTACGGAAGTGGTGCGGTTTACTTTGAGAAACTCGGAGAGGAACTACGTACAATACTACTTGAACCATTAAAGGTGTGGTTCATACATCTATTTCCTTACTGCGCGAATTTGTTTGTCGAATACTCTTATTTTATTTTTATGGGTCCGTGACTGCATACTTCAAGGTGCTTCTGGTAGTTGTTTGTTAAGTGTTTCCCGATATAAATCTTTCAGGAGTGTGGAGGAATGATGACTTTGCCGGAGGTCTTCTGCAGAGTGAATCGTGCACGAGGTTTAGAGCTGCTTTCACCAGAGGATCTTCTTAATGCCTGTCAAGCACTGAGCAGGCGAGAAGATTCGCCAATGGAGTGAGTAATGCTACAACAAACTTGCTCCAAAAATCGTCGTTTATTCCAGATTACATCGTTTCGCCACTGGAGTTATAGTGTTGCAATTGAAAACGGCGTCTATAGAGAGTATGGTGGAGGCTACTGCCGATTATGTAAAACTGAATGGAAGCGCGACTGCAAGTGAACTAGCTGCAAGTCATGGCATTACGGTTATATTGGCCAAAGAACGGTAAGCTGTCATGTCGAAGATAACTGAGTTTTTGATCCATTCCCTAGTTCGTCTATAAAATTCTTTATTTGGTGTCCTTATATCCTTCTGGACGGGTTGGGTTCACTGCCACTGATTGGCCTCGCGGACATGGAGTGCTTGGTTATGTAATGGGGTAAAAAATGGAGATTCAATTCCGAGGCGTGTTTAGTAGTGCGCCTTTTGTCCTATTTCACCCCCCCCCCCCCCCCCACAGCCTCCTTATTATTACCTTTCGGTCCGGAATGGAATGATGTCCTTTCTCAGTCGAGCTCATATCTTCGAAATTTCGTACCAAAACAGGATTCTTACAGGTTACTGGCTGCTGAGGAACAGGCAAAGCTCTGTCGTGATGATTCTACGGAAGGTTTGAAGTTCTATCCGAATCGTTTTCTCATTGATGTGTAGACGTGTAGTGCCCAGTGGCTTTGCAGTAGTAATTAATCCTAACCGGTGCTTTTCGTGCAGTCTTGTGTATTTCTAGACCTAGCGGAATGAGATTTTTTTTTGTTACTTTCTAGTCATCGAATCTCCTATGCACAGCATTGTCTTGCCATTTAATAGGATTGATTGAGAGGTGAGAAAACTGGTGCATACTTGACTTCATACCTTGCCGCGATTTATTATATCAAATGTTTGATGTACGTGTGGTTTCGTCTATAGAGCGCCTTTAGATCTCTGCTTAGATGTGGCTGCATTTTAGGAACCCTGATTGTGCTGAGCTGTGTACACACTTTGTATAAATAAATGGCTTCTACAAGTTTTTTTTTAATCCAGAACTGGTTGCTTACCGATTTTATTTTCGAGCATTCGGCCTCTTTTGTCCAATTCGTTTCCATTCCATGCAAACTTGTTGGCAGATAGTTTTGATTTAGTTTTAGTGTGTGTAGATGGAAGTGGAAGGGCCACCTGGTGTGGATGTAGCACCACCTGGTGTGGATGTTGCACCACCTGGTGTAGATCCCGAGCCAGCGCAAACTGCCCAGCCTAAACATGACGCTACACAACCGGTTGCAGGTATGCTTCTTGAGGAGAGTAATTCTCACGATTAACATTCAAGTTCCTAGCCCAAACCCACATCTAATCCATTAGGTTGAGGGTCATGCTATGGGTGGGAGGATTTAGCTGTGTCCAAAATTGCCGCTCAAAACGCTGCGAAAAAGGATTGCGATTGCGATACTGGTTTTTGGTAGGCTACTAGTAATCCGGGAAGCTAGCAAAATGCAATTTATGCAGAAAGTAGAGGAAGAAATTTCAAGATTGTCGAAAGGCTTCTCTTAAACTGGAAGAGGTACCGGTATCCCTGTTTGGATTCAACCTCGTCGCGTGCAGAAAAGCGCAATCAAACTCATTCGGTGTTGGTCAGTTCCGACTTAATTTTCGGTTAGTATAACTATCTGGAACGCTTATCGCTAGTATACTTCGTTAACGCAAAAAAAGCTTCTATATGTTCACACTTGCATTCGGTTTGGTTTCTCATGAGGTGACCTCCCTATACTGTATCAATTTTTTTGATTGCGTGATCTCAAGTCTCACTGGTGGTTAACCACTGTGTAGGACCTATTACCCGTGTTCATGCAATTTCGTCCTGTAGACTCTCCCTTTCTATCGAATTCAGCATTGGCTGTATCCCAATGCTTAATAGGCCAGGTTCGTAGAAGGTAGCCAACTTATCGTTGTCCCATTGATCTGGCTGGCTTTCATTTTAACACAAGAAATTTTCGACTTGATACTGTCTTTAGAGGGTTTATTGTTTTCTAGAACTCTTCACGAGGTTTGTAAATGAGCTTTGTTGGGCTGACGCTTCGGTGGGGTCGCCTTCTTCAGAGCCTGAAAGGAAAAATGACCTGTCTTTAGACTCCAGCTACTGATTATTTACGATGTTTATCGTTGAAGGTTTTAGATCCGCTTGCGGACTCTGGAGATGAAGATGACGATGACGATGTTGAGGTAACTATTGGTGTGATACCACCAGTGAACGTCCAATACAGTCTTGTAAGTCGCTTAGAAGATTTATTTTATCTTTTCTTCTCAATCTTGAGAATCGAAAATTTTGAGCGAAAGTGGCTTACGGAGTTTGAAGGCGCTAACTATATAGAATTGGTCTTGTTTTTTTGTTTCTTCACACCATATTTTTTATCGGTTTGAGATTACTTCTTTGATTCTGTCTTGTAACTATATAGAATGTGCTCCCGAGTTTTGCAGAAAGGTTCCTTGGATGTAAACGGCGATGTTAGTCAAACTGGCAAGCTGGACATTGATGCTGTCCCAATGCTTAACGACAAGCCGATTTACGATATCGATCTTGCCCAAATGGAGGATCGCCCCTGGCGAAAACCTGGAGCTGACATTACTGATTACTTTAATTATGGGTTCACAGAAGGCTAGTGTCATCGCTTTGCTTCAGCAGTAGTCAAGGTCTGCTGAGTTGTTCCTGCTTAGTAGTTATGTAGTACTTTTTGAAGATACATGGAATGCCTATTGTGAGCGACAAAAGAAGTTGAGACAAGAATACGGTAATCAGGCAGCAGCCAATAAGGCACTATTCTCATCGATTAATCTTGCAAATCCGCTTGGAATGCCGCGTAAGTGAAAGTGTTGCTGTTTTGTTTTCGGTTTATTAGTTATAAGTTTTCTGTCTTTGAAGCTACTGGAGGCCGCCAACTGGTACCGCTAACTGAAGGAGCCGTAAAAGTCCTAACGGATAACGGTGGAAAGTTCAAGCCACATTATCATAAGCTTGCGACAGATACCTCGGAGGTAAGTGCAGGGGTCCTATTGAATCGTACGAAAGACGCCGCGTTTTCGTTTTCAAGAGTGATGAAGAGAAAATAGGTTATGGGAAATTTTCTCGAAAAGGGTTTTTCAGCCAATTATGAGAACGGTCATAGCCGGTCCACAACCATCGAATGCGCCAACAGGACCTCCTGGAGTGGTATGCATCTTAAATGCTTTCTGCATAGCCCTTTTTTCGTTAAAATTTCCGTCTTGATGTGGTAAAGGTCACTGCTAGTATGGAAATATTTTGCAGACACCAACACCTGCCCCAGTTGTTGACTTCAGTAAGCCTCCACCAGGGATACCTCCATCTGCGCCGCCGCCTGCACAGGCGACTGTACCTCCGATCCATATGATGGGTATGTTGGAAGTTTGGCTGTTTTTTGTGCTGACTGTAGTTTTGTAGATGGTCCTCCCGGTGTTGATATTATTGGCCCGCCTGGTGTGGATGGACCGCCTGGAGTCGATCTGGAACCACAAACCATACCCACACTAGGGTCAGGAAGCACACTGGATATGTCAATGCCCCCTCCAGGGTGAGTTTTTGTTTCCTTTCAAATGTTCCCGTGTGAATTTCCAATAGCCTAAGTAATCCGTTGCCGTAATCATGAAATAAGAGTTCATCTGATCAGTCCTGTTACTGGAATTCGCTACGCATTCGATCTCCATGTAAAATCATAGTGACGTTTTGGTTTCATGCGTTGCCTCACAATGACTTGCTGAGGCTAGACCATGTAAAACTCGATGTTGTTATTCTATCAGACGAGCTAATGTACCGACCGCGTAGGGTTGGGAGGCTAAATTGCTCTGAGCCCGTGCCATCACCGGATTCGATCACCGGACCATGCATGTGATAGTGCAGCATTTGGCACAGGACTTCAACAATGTTTCGGGAAACATTACAAAGCTCTAATTTTAGATTCAATCCGTCCCTGCCACCTCCTGGCATGCGTCCACCTCAGATGGCGATGCCAATGACTAGCATGCCGCCCCCTGGTTTCAATACTATGCTTCCACCACCAGGGTTTGGTCAGAATCGATTCTCATCGTCTACGCCTAATAGTTAGTTTCAATTTTTTACAACATTTGGTCAGTAGCATCTTGTAATTTGTAACAATTTGCATCTAAATTGTATGATATATTGTATAATTTTTTCACAATGCTGGTTCCGAAATTGTCCGACTACTTTAGGCATAGGTCGACCTCCACCGTTGATGGGCCGAGATTTTGAGCCGTTGATTAAAAGAGAGTCATCCGATTTCGATGAGAGGTAGTTCACTTGCTCTTCTTTATTTCTCCTTTCTAGAGATGTGGTTCATTTTCCATGAAGTGTTATTTAAATTGTTCTAGTGAGGATGACCGAAGGCGGCATAAGAGACGCAGTCGATCAAGAAGTCCATCCAAGCGAGACTCGAGGTAAATAAATTGCTTCACTTCGCAATGGTGGATCTATTAATAATGGGTAGCCTGATCGTTTCGAATACAACGTTACGCGATTGAGAGGTCACAAAAAATAATCCCCCATGACCTCTTTTTCCCTACAGTTCAGTGTTGATACCATAGGTCTGAGGCGGCAGAGTGAATGAATGAACTTTTTGTTGCGCAACTTTGTGGCCTAGTTTTACTGTTTCTTGCCCATCAAACACATGAATTCCAAACTTGCTGGCCACTGGTATCGGAAGTTGATGATTGGTGACCACGGCTTGATGATACCACTATTTGTCAGCTTGAGAAGGAATCATTGATTGTGTTTTGGTATATTAACACGGTGAATAGTGAACTTGGCTCGGACAACCACCGGGAACAGCTTTCGGATTTCCTTCCTTAACTATAGACGAAAGCTTTTCGGTACTGGGGAAGCTTATGAACTGGTATACAATCCAAACAGGTCTAGTTCTTTTAACATCTTCAAATTCGCGGTGAGAAAATCCACCTACTCCGCAACGAGGCAGTCTTAGAGAAGATATTTTCGATCCTACCCAAAACGAAGAGCTGTTTAAGAAAAATTTCCCTTCCACAGCGTGTAAATGTTTCTTGATCCTTGCCAGTTACTCTATTCTCGCGTCAAGATGTTGTATAGTTATAAGAAGCCCCAGCATTTCATATAGCATTCAGTTGTATTCCGAATTCTTTCTGATGCTTTTTTCAGACGGAGTCGTGACACTGGACGCGACCGCGAACGTGATGAAAGGCGTGATCGCGATAAAGAACGTGACAAGGAGCGGGATAAGGACCGTGAGAAGGATCGTGACAAGGATCGTGACAAAGATCGAGACAAGGAACGCGACCGTGAGAGGGAAAGGGATCGCGAACGATCGGAACGCTCCGAGCGAAGCAGTAGGCGACATCGGTCACGAAGCGGTAGCCCAGAAGGTAGCTTGATGAGTTTATCTAATGTGATGCCAAAGGAATTGCCATTAACTCAGAGCTTTTTTGTGTAGTAGTTATATCTTCCAGTTGGCTTTCGCAGAGGATTTCCATTGAAGTATCTTTTCCGCTACTTAGCCAACGTGCGACTGATATTCCTCATTTATTTGTTTAGTCAGTGAAATTCCATTTGCGCTTTATAGGTCGTAAACGTCGTGATGAGCGCGAGAAGGACAAGAAGCGTGATCGGCGGGACGAGGATAGCGATAGGAAAAAGAGGTAAAGTAGTCAGTTTAGATTTCTACCGTAGAGCAATTAAGGAGATTATGAAAAAATTTTCTTCCTATAATAATTTTGTTTGTGAAGGCGACACGAGAAAGACAAGGACGATGACAGCGAGAGGCGTGACAGACGAGGCGACGAGCGCGATCGACGGGAAAAACGGTCGCGACGTGATGATCGTGAAAAGGATGATCGAGAGGATCGTGATAGAGACAGAGACAAGGAAAAGGATAGAGATAGAGAGGACCGCGATCGTGAAAGTCGACCCCCAGTAGAGGTGAAGCAGGAGGAGCCAGAGGTGGCCAGTGGCGAACCACCACCACCTGGAGTTGATGTAGAAATGAACGCGTAGTCTGTTTTTTTTTTGTGGAATTTTTGCAGTGATGTTCTTGATTTGGTTGTTGGTTGGCTGGTTCGTTGATTAGTTGATGACTACGCGTACAGCTGATTTCCTGAATACCTCGTTCTGTTTTGTCTGGAAATATATTCATGTAGTCTCTAAAGACCTTAAACCCTTGATTTCCTAGTACTGGTTCCTTTCAAGACTCTCACTGGTAAAACTTGGCCCTTTACTGTTTATTGAATTGTAAATCAAATGTGCATGTGTGCAGGTGAGGATTTGGAGTCCGGGGTCATATTTTGACCATGTATTACTATCTGTTTTACTGTTTCCTTCATTTCTGTATATCGTCTTGCAATGCGGATTTTCGAAAACAAATAAGAAATCGCCAGTTTGTGCTGCTACGAGAGAGGCAATCTCAAGAGTCATTTTTTCTTTTACTTCTTTTTGCATCTGATTTTGAGCAAGATTTTACAATATTATGAGAAACTAATATTATTCGGTTGTAAACTTGATTGATGCATAAGAAATGCCGTTTCTTTTTTGTACTGAGTTTTTCTTGACCAAAATATTAAATCAGGTTATGTTCCATCTATTTCACATTCTTATCCCCCTCCACGAGACATCGATTTCAAAGCTTTTTGCCGCTTTGGTAAAAGTTTTTTCAGACTCCTACGATTTCCAAAGCTATGTTAATTTTATCCTTATCAGCGGAGAGTTTTTGATGGTTGGAGCATGTCTGAGTGCGGTTTTTCCTGGATCTGACACCGGTTTCTAGCTTCTGAAGGAGAACTTTACAACCTATCTGAGCACAAAATAGTAAAACATCGGATGGACTCAAGCGGTTGGCCAGTTATGTGCAAAACTTTGGCCTTGGATAGGATTGAGAGACTTTAGTAGGAGTACGACGGCGAAATAATTGTCCACTAATGATCAGGTCAAAATCAGATGGACTGATCATTAGTTCATGCTACTTTTTTTAGGTCGGTTAATTTTAAAAAGCGACATCTATTATGCATCAATCTAGAACAAAGCAAGTAAAGAAGAGGTCCACTGCTTCATATACAAACATAAGATTCAAGTTTAACGACAGCTAAACACATTGAAGTGACGCCATGGACGAAGGGTTAGGCTGGCATTGAACATTCAAAGGTTTACTTAATCTGTCGGTTAGAGAGGAAACGACAGCACTTCCAAGCTTTTGAAGCTCTCAAAGCATTCAGAAGCAGTTCATCTCGACTGACATCGGGGATTAGAGGGATTTTATCGTCCCGTGGGTGTGTGACACCGTAACCCCCTAGCGCCCCACCACCCACTCCCGTGGGCTTCACCCGGGGTACCTTTCCTTTGCGTCGTATATGCGACCGGTGTTTTGGAGGCGCTTCAGCGTGTGTTTGGGTTACTGTGTCACACATTCACGGGACGATTAAATCCGTCTTGTACATCAGAACAGCAATGAAAGCCAATGAATGTGGAGTGTGCGAACTTTGGTAATACAAGCCCCACTGTACGTCGGTGTAGAGGAACCACAGTTAGCCTCAAAATTTTCTACAATCAAGGGTTCTGAGATATGCTTGGCTTTGCTCCATATGAAGTAAACGTAAATTGTACATGAATGAGAAGTGAGTACAGACTGTAGCTCATTGTGTCTGTTGTTTTTCGATTCAGATCAACACCAGCTAATAAAAAAGCCTTTTCAAAACCGCTGGGACTCAGAAGAAAGGTACCAAAGTCATCGGGATCGCCTGTTAAACACAAATCCAGATTTTTACGGATCGAAATTATCGTTAGTTGCTTCATTGGACAACATTGACACCTTGAATGGAACGATCGAGATATGATTGCAAATACATTACATAGGGTGTGCCTCAGTAGTAACCACTGAGCTGTTGTATGCTCGCCAGCCAACGGCCTTGGACAACTGCCAATCGATGCGGACGCTACACCAGNCCCCCCCCCCCCCCCCCCCCCCTTCCCCCTTATCCCATTATAATAATAAAACATGTATATACCCTACTGTGTCTGTTACCTCTAACATGGACTCACGTCCCGCTACACCATCAGTTATAGGCCTCGCGAGCCTATAATCTGATATGGAGATCCCAGTGAGATTTTCTTGGGGCTTATTTTTCAGGCTAAGACGAAAATTGTTGGTATATATTATTCCCTTCACCTCACAGGACCGATGTTTGATGGTTCCCAGTTGAGCACCCCTTGGCACCCCTCCCAGCTCTTTAACCCTCACTCATTATTCAAACCACTGTCCGACTGTATTCAACTATTTCGGCAATGGATTTTGCTATGGGACGACTCAGGACAAGAACGATGGATTTGCGATGTCAGATAAGTCGACTGTTTGAAGTCAATGTAAAACCCATAGATGGATAACCTTAAGGCGCCCTTTTATGCAGCAACTTTTGTCCCAGTTTCCAACAAGCAGGGCATCCACCCACCCGGGTATAGGCGTCAGAGAGGGAGTATTGTTACGTATTAAAGTAAAAAAATCGAAAAATCTTTATCCTCAAAATCAATTTTATATAAGTTTTTGTCGAGTCTGTCGAGTCATGTGGGGTTATCCGTGGACGTGCGAAATAACACCTAAATTGTGGGATCCGGGAGATTAACTTGATGTGTTACGCGATTGCGACACGTTAACATCGTTTTTATGGGAAAAATAAATTTTCCTAGTACTATAAATAGGGTTATAAACACGGGATAAGTTGTATGAGTAAAGGGGACCGTCGCCAGGACCGAAGTTTACTAATTTTGTTACAATTAGTAAAGAAGTTCTTG